AAAAAAAGTCAGACACTGATCTTATCAGTCTAAAATTTGCCTATAAATACGCGTTTCATTGTTATCTGTGCTGCATTTGCTGGCTGATTATCAAAATCGTGCGCTCTCGTTCTCTATACCTACAACATGGAATGTGCTGCACAGAACGTAATACGGCATATACTTTATCTAAAGGAGCTGTCTTTAATATTGGCAACTGCTCCTGTGCAATGGATTAATCAACTTCAACAAAACTAATAAAAATTTAATGTCAAATGTAAGCCGATCCGTTGTGGACAACAAGCCATTGTGGCACTTTCTGTTCCATATGAAAATCGAAGAGAAGGTGCGAAATGAGTATTGTCAGTGAGAGAAATGTACTCACATCTATAGAACACTTTTTTTAATAAGATCAGCATATATCAACAAAGGCGTCTTGATTATGTCCAATAGTAATACAAAGTGTCAAACATATCACTATACTACAATATTTAGTCCTATATTAATCCTAGCTATGTTTTGTCTTTTTTCTTCATCTTTAATATCATAGGAATACTTTTGTTCCAGAAATTTTTCAAGACTGATTCGACCAAAAATATTTGATACTTTCTGTGATAAATTCATGAGATAGGAAAAGAAACGAGTCAGCATAACTCATTCGTAACTTATGGAGAATGCGTAGACATAGATGCATACGGATAGAAGAAGAGATAGAGCGATCAATATGAGAGAAAGAGATCAGTCATGAACTAATATCGGTCACACTGTCAAAAAACAATTTTTAAATAACAAATAAAATGCTGTGCCAAACTAAAACGTTCAGAATGCCTATTTCAAAAACATCGGAAAAATGAGTTCGTTATAGAAACATTGCTTTCGCATGAATTGATTCCTGATATACACAGATTGGCCAGGATGATTTTTCTAAGAAGACAAAAATGTGTATGATTGTTCACCCAAAACGAATTTACAAATTCCAAATTGAAGCACTCCTGATATTCTATACAAGTAGCGTGGCCGAAGCGCCGCTGACCCTCTACTGAAAGTATAGAATATTTTAAAAGCACTACAGCCAGGTTAGTTTCAGAGTCTTATAATTTAATCTACTGATCTGTCTACTGGATGATCATTGATAAAAATGTGGTTCTAAAAACCCAGATATGATCATTCTCATGGAACAACTACGCTTTCGCTTTCTTCGTATAACAACCAAGAGGGCTATATTAAAAGATAATTTTTGATCAGCTTTATCCTCACCCGTCCAAGAATCGTGCCTAAACAGACATTATTTATATTGCTTTATTCAATTGGTTTCTTTGGTCTGAAAGTTGACTTTCACCAATATTATGTTCAACAGCTAGTCGTTCGTCGGCGCTCCGGAGGGGCGCCACTCACGGCTAGCCCTGCCGATGTCCGAATATACTTCGTAGATAGATCCGCATATCATACAAATCATTTACATCATCTTCACTTCTTTCAAAAGCAAGTTTTCATGAAAACTGACGCGATACTATCAGTCGATAACATACCAGTGATCCACCTCAGAGTCCAATTTTATCACCGTATTCATTGACTGGAAGGAACGGCTCGGTCGACAAAGAACTAGCCAGCACCAAAACGATAATCTATAGATCTGTGGCATGAAGACCACTGTACCATAAAAATTTTTATTCAGCGGCTACCGCCACCATTATCTGCTCAACTATATCGATAAAAGCAAAACTCAGAATTTCAAAAAACTAAAGTAGGATTCCGATTCCCCGACCCCAATTACCTTCGGTCAACCCTTAAAAAAAACTAATTTTTTTGTAAAATAGTCTCTCTCTCTCCTAAAAAGAGGGAAAAGCAAAACTTCAAAAAACTAACAGCGTCATCGTGTTCCCCGACCCCAATTACCTTAGAGCTTACCCATCCCAAGAGAAATTTTGTTTGATGTTAGGTTAGTTTATGCATCTACTTTTCTATTGGACGAACGAACATACGAACGAACGAACATACGAACGAACGAACATACAAACGAACGGCTCTAGCTCACTTTTCGTCTAACCCTCCTTTCAGTAGAGGGAATAAATACTTTTATAATTTCTTCCGTCTAAAATGAACGCAAAAAAAGAATTCTTTCTTTCAGCATGCTATACTTCGTTATATATTGCTTAGTCACTGAATAAAAAAATCTTCATATCATTCTGACGAGGTTTCAAAATGTACATTCTGACAATCAGTACAGTTAATTATCTGTCTGCGCTGAGATATCGAAAAGATACTTCTACCTGCAAAAACAAATTTGAACCAAAATCTATCATCAATCAGAATAATTCATCGTTTTTTTCTAATTTTTTCTATATTTTTATTCCAAAAAGTACGAGAAAAAGAAGCAAATTCGAATGTTTACAGTTTAATGGCCATACATAATTCAATAAAAACTCAACAATGTTAATGTGAAATGATACCAAGTAGATAAATTTTAAGCGATATATTTATGTTATTTTTTTGGATAATTATTATAAAACGATGAATTCCATTCAAATGAAAAATAAGTCATTGTCTACAAATTTCTGTCTTCTCTATTTCCCTCGCGTTTAAAAATTATTTCTAGTTTAAATATAGGGTGAGGGTGTGTCTTTTCAATTCCCATATCAGAATAAAAACAGAAAAAAATAAGAGTCGACTATACAGAGAATGGATTCTATTCAATTACAACAAAAAGTTAAGAATATCACTATTAAAACTTAGCAGATTATTAGTTTATCAATATTTTTTCGTTTTGTTAGAATGACTTTGAAATGGCGAATTTGTTTGAATCGTAAATTATTATTTAGTGAATTTTTTTCCTTCATATATAAACAGTTGATGAAGTATTCTTTTACAGAAACAATTTCTACAGCTAGTTATGTGTTTTTATTTGAAACGTCTATTAAAGACATGAATTCGAAGATAAAACTGTTTCGCTATAATGCACTCCTTATGTTAATGAGAATAGCTTTAATAAAAAATTCAATCATTGACGATAAGATTATTTGATTTTATATAAGTAGATTTTATATTTGGCTCAAAAAATACTTCTTTAATATTAGGGTATGCCATAGAAAATATTTTTTTATTTATTCTGAGAGTAAGAATGGGAACGTCTGATCACCTAGTGATGCACGTGGTGATGTGTTTTTTGTCGTACAGAAACATATCTACGCTGATCCAATTGAAAGAAAAAAATGATAAACGCAAATAGCTCAGAATATTTATTATTTTTATTTCAAATCTCGTGTAACTGAAAATGAAATTCTCTTAATACAACATACTGTAAAACTCATGACAGATAAATAAATGTTTCGCGATGCACTGAAAATTGCTTTACGATTCTGATTTTTGAAGATTGTTCGTTTCCATTGAAGTTATGTTTATTAATTTCTTTTGATTTTCAAATTGAAATGCATAAATTATGCTCAATAGATTAAAACGATGCCTTTATCTATCCAAAGGAGAACAAATGTTATTACATAATCAGATTCATAAAATTTCATGTTCACAGATACGTGAATTAGAACGTGAGTAAGTCGAAGGAAAAAAGATTAAGTCTTGAAAAATGAAATAAATGAATGAAATATGTAACTTTGATGATGAAGTATTTTATAAAACTATTTTTGAATAGTATGTATAAATACAAATAGCCATTTATATTCTCTCGTCGTTTTCAATAATGAATTCTCTCATTCGATTGACATTAGATACAAAAAATTGCATACTTACTATTGACTTTTATGCTAGGAACAGCCATGAGTTTTATCTTAGAGTAACTGATATTCTCGTGAAAATTTATGTACTGGTACTGGTCGTAAAGAAATTTTAGTTTTCGGATCAATCGATAAATACTCAAAACATAAAATTGATGCTACAGAAGCATATACTAAGTTAAAGATCTAATAAATATAAATAAAATGGAAAACAAAAAGTTTTAAAGAACTATTATATCTATTTTGAAGTAAAAAATTAGATAAATAAGCACTCAATGTGTTTTCGTCTTGTTCTCTCTTTTGTATTTATCTTGTTTCACGACATGCATGTTGTACACATGAAGGCTAATTCATTCATATATCATGCAAAAAAACATAAAATAAATTACTGGATGAAACGAACGAAGAGAAAACTACCGCAGCTATTGCTGAGAAAATGTGAAAAAACATTTTGTAATAATATTTTTGAATACTCAAAAAGGACATCTAAATATCTACTGAGCTGAATATTTTCGGTAAAGACTAATTCAAGATGGATGTAAAAAAAAATTCTTCATGCAATATTAACTGAATCTAATTTCAATAAACTGCGATATAAAATATTTCAATCTGAAAACAGTTGATTTAAGACTATTACTAATAGAATTTCAACTTGAAAAATATATTCGATCAATGACTTTTGCATTTCAACAGCAATCTCCACTAGAAAAGGGAAAGAAACGGCGCATTTAATTGTCACGCGCCATGAGATTCTTCAGATGCATGCAGGTAAGTAGTTAAGAAAGTTTCTACTCGCTCAAATCATCAATTTTTCCTGATTTTATATTTCAAAGTAGACAAAAATTCTTTTTTTTTGAGAAAATTTCTGTTGCCATTAAACTGAGAATTGATGTGACACGCTAGAAAACGCATTTAGGATTCATATTAAAATATTCCTAGAATAAATTGATCGCACATTTTCACGTAACAAAATCGCGACAAGTTTTTGTTTAGATACTTTATCATTGTATGTTTAAAAAACTAATCTTTTCCAAACAAAAGTCTCTCTCTCTCCTAAAAAAAGCAAAAAGCAAAATTTCAAAAATCTGACAACGCCATCGTGTTCCCCGACCCCGATCACCTTCGGTCAACCCTTACAAAAAACTGATTTTTTTCCAAAAAAGTCTCTCTCTCTCCTAAAAAAAGCAAAAAGCAAAATTTCAAAAATCTGACAACGCCATCGTGTTCCCCGACCCCGAATCACCTTAGGTCATACCTATCCCAAGAGAATTTGTTCGATGTTATGTTAGTTATATGTATCTGCTTTTCTATTGGACGAACGAACATACGAACGAACGAACATACAAACGAACGGCGCTTGCTCACTTTTCGTCTAACCCTCCTTTCAGTAGAGGGAATGATTCATCTATTTCTAACCAAATCAAAGAATATCTGATTCATCGAACAAATAAATTAAAACAAGATATTTATAAAAATGTAGCAAAATCTCGAGCAATCGTACTTCAGTTGCATCAACGTTCATCGTCATCGAGAAAACAAAAGATTATTGGTGTCTCTCCTGAACCCTATATTGACTTGATGTCACATCAATTTATTAAACGTCAATGGAATCATCTTTCACTTGGTAACAATTTCTGATTGGCCGGAGTTTATAATTCATTACCTTATGTTTTAGGTCCATCTTGTATAAGATTAAATCAAAGTGCTATTCGTCCTCGAAAGCAACAAGAAATTCACATAAAAAAAGAACATACAAATATTGATCAAAAAGTTATCCACCATCTCACATCACAACCACATAATATGCCATTAAAATCAAGGATTCTTAAAACATATTCCGATGATCTACTTAGTTATTTTAATCATTCTTATTTTTCTCCATTAACATATAAGAATGAAATATAAGCATTGGAACAAGCCAAAACCGCTTTATCGATTCAACGAAAAATCAAGAAATCCAATCTTATTCTTCGTGTTACCGATAAGGGTCACAATTTTTATATTGGCTCAGCAATTGAGTTTGATAAAAAAGTGCAAAAGTTTTTTCAAGATACAAATGCTTTTGTGGTATTAAAAGAAAATCCATTCAATGAAATTTTGGATAAAGTCATTCATTTACTCAATCAACTTCATGGAAAAAAACTTATTCTACGATGGCAATATAATAAAATGATGCCCAATCGAACAAAATCTGAATTAGCTCATTTATATTT